ACAGTGATATTTTGTGAGCCAAAGGTTGAACAAATAGGTTACATCAGAATGATTTTGACTATTTTTGAAGCTTCTTCTGGCTTGAAAGTTAATTGGGGAAAAACCAGTTTGTTCCCGATAAAAGAGGTGCCAAATATCCAAAATCTTGCAATCATTTTAGGGTGCAAAGTTGAAAATATGCCAACTACATACATTGGTATGCCTCTGGGCAGTGAACATAAGGCAGGGGAAATTTTGGATGGAATATTAGAGAAAACGGAAAAAAGATTGGCTAGGTGGAAGGCACAATACATTTCACTAGGAGGGAGGCTCATCCTTATCAACTTTGTACTTGATGCACTTCCTACGTATGTAATGTCTCTATTTCCCATACCTCCCAAAGTTATGAAAAAGCTGGACAGACTTAGGAGGGATTTTCTGTGGCATGGCTGTAAAGAGGGCAAAGGATATAAACTAGTCAATTGGCAGACAACAATGCACAGTAGAGAACAAGGTGGCTTGGGCATCAGAAATCTGAGAGCACAGAACAATAGTTTATTGATGAAATGGCTCTGGAGATACAATAAGGAGGATCATGCATTATGGAGGGAGGTAATTAGACACAAGTTTGGTGAACTCAACCCATGGTGCAATGTGAGCACTGATACTTATGGAGTTGGAGTTTGGAAGACCATTAGAGCTCTATGGCCAAAACTGGAAGGGAACTTGCAGAAGATAGTTGGAGATGGGAAAAGAATAAAATTCTGGAAGGATGCTTGGAAGGAGCAAAGTCCATTAATGGAGATTTTTCCAGACCTGTTTATTCTAAGCAACAACCCAGATGGCACCATTTATGATATGTGGAGTGCACAGGGATGGAACTTATTCTTCATGAGATTGCTAAATGACTGGGAGATCGATAGAGTAGCCGATTTGCTAAATAGGATTGATGATTTCAATGGCACTACTGCTGAACCAGATACATTAAGATGGAAACACAATATTGATGGGCAATTCTCTGTTAAAAGGGTTTATAAAATGGAAGAAAAGGTACAATGTAGAGGGCAACCAAAAATATGGAGAAACTTATGGAATAGTCCATCCCCAACCAAGGTAAAATGCTTTACTTGGTTGGTGGTTAAAAGAGCATGCCTGACACAAGAAGTTTTGAAGAAAAAAGGGGCCATCATAGTTTCCAGGTGCTTCTTATGCAATGAGACAAATGAAACAAACAGTCATCTATTTTTGCACTGCACCTTTACAGCACAACTTTGGTCTCTATTTCTCAACATAACAAAGACAAGCTGGACTATGCCGGAGCATACTGCAGATTTTCTTAGTTTGGATGAAAAGAGGAGGCAGCAAAAGTCAAAAGAAGTGGTGGAGGATCATCCCACAATGCATCTGGTGGACAGTTTGGAGAGAGAGAAATGGGAGGTGTTATGAAGATAGATCCAATTCCATCCAGAAAGTTAAATGGAATTGTATAATATCTTTCTACTTTTGGTGTAAAGAAGTAGGTTTAGAGGATATAGATCAGTTTGTAGATTTATTAAGATCTCTGTAAGTATCTTCTTTTCTAGTTGTTTTTTTTTAACTAACACTTCATGATGGTGTCCAGCATGTCCTTAATGCTGAGGAATACACATTTACCATGATGGTGTCCAGCATGTCCTTAATGCTGAGGAATATACATTTACCAGTTTCAAAAAAAAAAAAAAAAAAAAAACTCTATGTGAGAGAAGGTGATAAGAACACCTTGTTCTGTTCAGTAGAAATATTACTGCAGTTAAACTAAGAACATCTTAACATATGACGTTGGAAGAAAAGAAAAAAATTGTACTATTGCACGTGAAATTATCGTGATGAATCTCTCGACTTTACCTGCAATACGATTTCTACTAAACAAAACAAGGTGTTTTTCTTCTCATATTCTCTCATATGGTGTTATTATTTCTACTAAATATATAAAATGACGATTGAACATCTCATACATAAGTTATGGATAAAATCAATGTTAAAAAATACGCAAAATTTTGGAGGAGGACCAAAAGTGCACCAATATTGCAAACATGAGGGATTATTAGTGCTCCATGTGAAAACTCAAGGATGACTTTGAGCCTTAACCCAAAGATGAGGGACTATTTTGAGCCTTTCCTCTAAAAAATATAATCAAATACTTGATTAATCGACTTCCTCGCATCCACAACAAAAGGGTTTTACGTGGTGAGCTCTGCATACAAATACATGAATCAGAGGGATCACAACTCAGTTATTTGCTTTGGGAACTTACCTGGAAAGTAAAGGTATCATACCAAGTGGCAGTTTTCACTTGGTTGGTTTTGAGGGAAGTTGTTCTTTCTCCGGGATAAACTAAGAAAAGAGAATTCCAACTTTGTTCAAGATGTTATTTATGTGGAAAAAATGCAGAGACAATTAGCCATCTGATTCTACATTGCAAAATGACCAGCCAGTTACGGGATATGTATATCAATCTCAGAGGTATTAGGTGGGCAATGCTAGGAAAACATTTGAAATCTTGACAAAATGAAAACAGAGGGTAAAATGCAACACAAACAAAGACAGATGGGAAATTTCCCCAACAACAATTTGATGGACAATATGAAAGAAAAAGAATAAGTCTTTGAAGATACAAGCAACCCCTTGCAAAGATGCAAAATGAATTGTATTCTTCAATTTTGTTTTGGTTCAAGTAAGAATATATAGATGATCCAGTTTTAATTATCGACATTCTAGGTTCCTTGTAAAAAGAGCAGGGAGCTCTTAGTCTTTAGTTTTTACTTTTGTTTGGATCCTCTGATGTAACTCTCATTTTGGATTCCAGCACATTTTTGTGCTGGTTATTTATATATAGATTTATTACCTTCTAAAAGATAAGTATTGAACTGTTGATGGATTTATTGGACAGTTGATGTGTATGTCATCTTACATATATAACTATAAGAGCCTGATGTGTATGCTTTAGATTTTGCATTGCACGTTACTCCTATTAGTATTTGAACTACAGTGAGTGATTTTATGAGTTATGATGTTAAATGAGTATCATCTTCAGAATCTGTGAAATGGGTGACCTTTATTCCTTCTACTTCTTTTTGTGTAGATTGGGGCGAAACAGAAAAGTACACATAGAAATACGGTGCCATGTTCCCTTAAATTTTCAAATCATTCATTTCTAACAAGGGACTAATTTTTCTATCTTTGTAAATGAATATTGTTTGAAGTTGTTTCTCGGTTTTGTAACCAACTCCAGGAACATAAAACAATCTTTTGGTCCTGATCGGACCTACTTCATCGGGTTAAAATGCAAATTCTGACGTATTATTTTAATTTTTCTATAAGCATGCACATTTATTTTTCTGCGGGTGTTTTCAAAATCCGTAATCCTTTTATTTTTCTTAAAGAAAAATCAGATCCAAACATTTGTTGTCCAAACAAAAACCAACCAAACAAAGATAACTATTTTTCAAGCCAAGAACCAGGTATCTGTATTACTGTGTTAAACACAATGTTGCTGTCCCCATACATGCAACAACTTGTAGGGATCCTATCGATATAAAATTACGATGTTAATGCATTCCTGTTTGCGAATGAGCAGAAAATGATAAATGGATTTGTTACATCTGTTCAGGTTCGGGATTTTACTCACCACCCATTTGCTGAGAGAGAACTAATGTTGATAAAGATTGCTGTGAATGCTGCAGCGCGTCGCAATGTTCTTGATATTGCCAGCATCTTCAGAGCAAAAGCTGTTGATGTGTCTGACCATACTATAACTCTTGAGGTGAAATTCCTTTGCACTAGTATTTTGAATGTGTTCTCTGGACTTAGTTTACAGGCTGTCTTTGGTACTGGGTGTACGATATGCCTATTGGGTTAATGCAAGAAACATTGTGTATTTAAATTTGTGATATTTAAGTTTGGTTTTTCAAGTGCTCCTGCTTCATCCTCCGTTTCCCTACTTTGTTTGTAAGTTGAAATACATCACTCATAGCTGATGCTCGCATCAGTTGCATAAGGTTTTGCACTTCAATGAAGAAATTGGCATGGACCAGCTATTGCTTTTATGAACATGCAATCATCCACCATTTCCATTTCGATCCCTCAGATTACCGTGGATCATGATAAATCAGTTTTTGGTTCTTTATGTTGTACGGAGTAACACTCTTAAGCGTTGTCCTGAAGAAGAAAAAAATTTGTATGAGCTTTATCTGCACTTCAATTGTAATTAATGGACCAACCTGGCAGCCCTTTACTTTTATCTAATATGGATGAAGCTTTGCTAGGCCATTTTAATGAGCTATTGTTTTCTTGCTTTGATCAGCTTACAGGAGATTTGCATAAGATGGTTGCTTTACAGCGGCTACTAGAGCCTTATGGTATTTGTGAGGTCAGTTACCTATTGCACTCCTGTTATTCGATATCAAAATTATTATCCAGTAATATGCAGTGCTGCTGCTAGCCCAAAAGTGAGGTTGTAAGAAGGGCTCCGAAGTCCAGGGATTGTGATAGGGATGGACTGTAATGGGGAATTGTGATACAAAGGGATAAGGGTCACTATAATGGCTAGGCTTTACTACAGCGTTTCAGTCATTTGTTTGGTTCATGAGATTAAGAGAACAGGTATCAAATTATGCATTGTTCATGAAATGAAGTCTATAAGTATGAACCTTTGTGAAGAGATGCTGTTAACCCAAATGTATTGCATAATATGTACATTCTTCTTCAGGAGATTTTCGACACCAATGTGAAATATGAATTTTTGCATTAAATTGAGCAAAAATAAGGTAGTAAGACATTGAATAAGCACCAGAAGGGGACCAAAACAAAAAAGGAAAAAGGATAGTGGGAAGCATGAGGGGTGGGGGAGGATGGAGATGTGAGAAATAATCTGGTCATTGGATGGTGTGGCTTTGCAGATGCTAAAACTATTAGCTCAAGAAAGGGAAATGCATTAAATTGAGTTAATGTTATACGAATGAGTAGATTTCAGTTCACAACCCATAGGGAAGATGATATTATATTCCTTATTTAGCCTACCAAATGAGCAGCTATGACTAAGTTCATGTAGTGGCTAAAATAGCGCATATTGCACCACCATGTTCTGTATATTTCCCAAAAGCTCTATGTTCATGAGGTCAATCTGAAAACTTTAATTTTCCTTTGCAATTTCCATTATGGTTGTGTTTTTCGAGGCTGAGCTTCCTGTCCTGATTACCAGGTAGCGCGAACAGGACGCCTGGCGCTGGTACGTGAATCAGGTGTGGATTCAAAGTATCTACGAGGATATTCTTACCCTTTGTAGTCTAAAATCCTTGAGCTTGAGGAAAATGCCTGCTCTTAGTGTAAACATGTGTGAACATGGATGGCTGAATTAAGTTGCATAATACAGAGATGACCTCCATGTGCGACTCTGCAGCTTTCAGATCAAGTTCGCTTTCATAATAGTACATGCTCTTCAATTGTTTTAGCTTAGTTGCAAGGTTTTTTTTCTTCAATAAAACGAATAGGGTACAGTTAAACCAGTACATAGACCTGTCTTTGATAACTTTCTTGTGAACAAAGAATCATTATCTTTGAGGTACAATGATTTTTCAGCACTTTCATCTTTTTTTTTTCTTTTCTTTTGTGCTTCTCTTATTCTTTAGCAATGATGTTTCTGCAATAAGCTTTGCTGAACATGGTTAACATTGCTATTTTCCCAGAAATGAACAATGAATTACAAGTAAAATGTGACTTTAGCCATATTGACTTTTGAATTTGAAGGTGATATGAAACATTTTGATTGTTCATCTCTTGTTCTTTTTTCTCTTATTTATGATGTTTGTCTTCAGCTACTCTTTCTTTTGATGCTTGTTTTATCTGCCTTTACATTAGGTGAACAATTTTACCATTTGACATTTGAGAAGGCTGAATTTATCGAGGACAACATTTTAGGTTTGAAAAGGATCCTATATAGTTGTTCCACTACGCCCAAATGGTTGTGGAGTGTTGCTCCCAATTGCACACGGAAGTGTATGTGGTTGCACAAGTAATATAGTGATTCTTTCATAGCCGGATTATCGAACTCAAATGACTTATCAATTAACTATTTTACTAAATTATACTAGTCTAATTATTTATTTAAGGGTGCCAGAAGAGTTCGATTTATATTTGTAAACTAACAATACAAGAATTAAATAATAAAATTATCTTACAATGATGGGGGCAATTCCAAGGCTATAGCTTAATTTAGGAATTCATGCTTCACAAATCTTTTTCGGATTTTAGATGGTCATCAAACTACTGATTTACAAGATTAATTTTATGATCATGATCTTTTGATCTCTAATTACCTACCCCAGTTGAGCGTGTAACTACATCGTTGAGTGGGATATACATAATCAACAGTTGAACATTTATTTTTTATCCGGTTTCATAACCAAGCATGGTATTTTGTGTGTGTTAATCCTAAACACAAATCAATTCAAGTGATATGCAAGAAAAGATCATGCTCCTTGTATTCCATGTTCTATCTCTCTATTCTTCTCTCGAGTTCAAAAGTAAACAAGATATTTATTTTAATGGTGGCCTAGCATCAAAATACTAAATCAAGAATACAAGAATACTTTATAAAAATAACTAACTTCATCCAAAGAAATCAATGTTTAACAATCGTTCGTAGTCGTAGCCCCAAAACAAGGGTCTTTAGCTACTAATGCCTAAGAAAAGAAGAAGAACCCCAATGGCGAATTCTATTCCTTGCCCCTTATGCTAAAAGATACGATGGATCCCCTTCAAAAGAGGCATAATGTTCTATTTATAGGGTTCGAAAAATAATCGTTCTTCCTTCTTGGATTTGGAATCCTAAAATCTGGGATTTTTTGTTGGAGCTTTCGTGGGGAAGCGCACCACCATAGCGCCAGACCTGGGCTTCAGCAGTTTGGGAGGGGAAAATGGGTCAATTCATGAAACTTTTCAAAAAAGACCGATCGGGTCATTACATTATCCACCACTAAAAATCATGTTCTTCCTCGAACCTAAAACAAAAGAAAGTACTTGAAGCTTAAAAAATCTGAGGGTATCTGGCATGCATATCTGACTATGTCGCCTTACCGATTGAACAATGTTTCCACTGCACCTTCACTGAAGCAATCTCTTTTGTCCTAAGCTTCCAAACCTGCCTATCCAAAATGGCTATAGGCTTCTCCTCAAAAGATAAGTTTGGACCCAACTCAACTGAATCAAGGGAAACTACATGGGACTCATCCGGCAAGTACTTTCGAAGCATGGAGACATGAAACACGGGGTGCACAACTGACAAGCTAGGTGGCAAGGCCAAGTTATAGGCCACATTTCCCACACGACTCAAAATCTCAAAGGGTCCGATAAATCTAGGGCTAAGCTTTCCCTTTTTTACAAACCTTGTTATACCCTTTATGGGTGACACTCGGAGCCAAGCATGATCATCCTCTATGAAAACTAGGGCTCGAACTTTTCGATCCATATAACTCTTTTGTCGACTCTAGGCTGTCAAAAGTCTACCCTGGATCGCCCCCAAGGCCTAGCTCAAGTGGCAAAAGGTGTAGGATTTGTGGCTTAGGTCGCAGGTTCAAGCCCCACACCATGCAAAGCAAAGCCCGGTATTTAAGTGGAGAAGGGTAGAGGGGCGGACCCATTATCCACCGAGTTTAGAAGGCTGTGATTGGTCCAAAGGGCGGGTCACAGGGGGATTTTTCGATTATCAAAAAAAAAAAAAAAAGTCTACCCTGGATCGCCCCCAAGGCCTAGCTCAAGTGGCAAAAGGTGTAGGATTTGTGGCTTAGGTCGCAGGTTCAAGCCCCACACCATGCAAAGCAAAGCCCGGTATTTAAGTGGAGAAGGGTAGAGGGGCGGACCCATTATCCACCGAGTTTAGAAGGCTGTGATTGGTCCAAAGGGCGGGTCACAGGGGGATTTTTCGATTATCAAAAAAAAAAAAAAAAAGTCTACCCTGGATCGCCCCCAAGGCCTAGCTCAAGTGGCAAAAGGTGTAGGATTTGTGGCTTAGGTCGCAGGTTCAAGCCCCACACCATGCAAAGCAAAGCCCGGTATTTAAGTGGAGAAGGGTAGAGGGGCGGACCCATTATCCACCGAGTTTAGAAGGCTGTGATTGGTCCAAAGGGCGGGTCACAGGGGGATTTTTCGATTATCAAAAAAAAAAAAAAAAAAAAGTCTACCCTGGATCACACAAACCTGCTCCATAACATCTCTAAGAAAGTCTGTATCCAATGAATCCATCTCAGCTGAATCGAACCATTCAATCGGAGATCTACACCATCTGCCATACAAGGCATCAAATGAGGCTATCTGAATACTGGAGTGGTAATTGTTGTTGTAGGCAAACTCCGCTAAGGGAAAATGTTGATCACATTTAGCACCAAAATCAATTACACAAGCTCAGAGCATGTCATCCAACACTTGAATCGTCTGCTCGGACTGACCATTTGGCTGAGGATGAATAGTTGTACGCATATCTAGCCGAGTACTCAAACCATGCTGCAATGCCTTCCAGAAATGAGAAGTGAACAAGGAACCTCGATTAGAGACGATAAAAATCGGAACCCCATGCAGTCGCACAATTTGACTGATATAAAGCTCAACTAACTTCTTCGTCGTATACTTCACTTGAATTGGAATGAAATGGGCAGACTTGGTCAACTTTTTAACAACCACCCAAATGGAGTCATAACCGCCCACGGTGGCAGATAGTCCCATAACAAAGTCCATAGTGATCCGTTTACACTTCCAAGTAGGAATAAGCATCCTCTGAGCTATACCTCCAGGTCGCTGGTGCTCACACTTGACCTGTTGGCAATCAAACACCTTGAAAAAAATCTACAATAACTCTTTTCATCCCACACCAGAAATAGTGCTGGCTCAGATTATGATACATCTTCACCGCAACTGGATGGATGGAATATTGGGAATAATGGGCGTCCTCAAGAATCAGTCTAATCAACTCGCTCACCTTGGGCACACATATCTTACCCCCAATCCTCAAGAAACCTTCAGAATCAAGGACAACCTCCTTAGTTTCCCCTCTCATCACCTTGTCTCGAATGAGACATAGCTTCTCGTCATCAATGCTCACGAATCTGCTTAACTAAGAAGAACATGCCTCAATAAAAGCAATCAAACCACTCGTCTCCTTAGAAATCTGTAACCGAAAGAGACTATTGGCTAATATCTGAGCATCTTTAGCCAATGGTCTCTCCTCTACACTAAATATTGGGAAGACTTCCAATGCTAGAAGTCTTCCTACTCAAAGCGTCAGCCACCACATTGGCCTTCCCTGAATGATACAAGGTAGTGATGTCGTAGTCCTTTAGTAGCTCAAGCTATCTGCGCTGCCTCAAGTTCAGATCCCGCTGATTGAAGATGTACGCAAAACTTTGATGATCCATGAAGAACTCACAATGAACCCCATACAGATAATGTTGCCAAAGCTTAAGCACTAATAATACGACTGCCAACTCCAAATTATGAGTAGGGTATTTCTTCTCATGGGTCTTCAACAGTCTAGATGCATATGCGATTACCTTCCTTTTCTGCATCAGAACATCACTTAACCCGACTCCATAAACATCGTAATAAACAGTGAAGTCTACACCCTCCTAAGGTAAAGTCAAAATAGGAGCCGAAGTCAATAAGGTCTTGAGCTTTTGAAAGATCTCTTCACACTTGTTAGACCAAGATGTCGTCAATGAACACTATCACAAAAGAATCCAGATAAGGTCGGAACACTCCGTTCATCAACTCCATGAATGCTGCAGGGGCATTAGTCAAATCGAAAGACATCACAAAAAACTCATAGTGCCCATAACAAGTCCTGAACGTTGTCATATGGATATCTGATGGCCTAATCTTCAGCTCGTGATACTTAGACCTCAAATCAATCTTAGAAAATAGAAATGTACCCTGAAGATGATCAAACAAGTCATCAATACGAGGAAGAGGATACTTGTTCTTCATGGTCATCTGTTAATAATCAATACACATCCTCATTAATCCATCCTTCTTCCTCACAAAAACACAGGAGCATCCAATGGAGAGACACTAGGGCGAATAAACCGTTTACTTAATAAATTATGTAAGTGATCCTTTAATTCCTTCAACTCGACTGGAACTATACGATACGGAGGAATAGAGATGGGCTTGGTGACCTACTCCAAGTCAATAACAAAATCAATATTCCTATTCGAAGGAACACCTAGAAGGTCAGTAGGAAACACATATGGAAACTGTCGAACCACGGGCACAAAATCCATGGAAGGTGGCTCAACACTAGTATCCCAAATGAAAGCCAAATAGGACAAACAACCTCTATCAACCAATCGCTAAGCTTGAATGAAGGAGATAACTTTACTAGGGTAAGAACCACTAGCACCCGTCCACTTAATTCTCGGGACACTAGGCATCGCTAAGGTCACGGTCTTAGCATAACAATCAAGAATAACATGATGCGGGAGAGCCAATCCATACCCAAGATAATATCAAAGTCTACCATTCCCAAATTGATCAATTCTACCCAAGTATCATACCAGACCAAAAAAACAAGACAAGATCGATACACTCGATCCACC